CACTAAGAAGAATATATGCAGTGTATTATTTGTTGAAACTGTACTTCCGATTTGATTTGAAACTGTCTCATTGCTGTTTATCAATAAAACTTTAATAAAAAAAGAAACTAGGACCAGAAATCCCATTCAAACCAGCTATCCCCCTACTGGGAATTTTCCCAGAGGAACTGAAAACATCATATCATAGTGATATATGTGTATCTATGTTTATACCAGCATAATTTGTGACAGCCAAATCTTGCAAACAACCAAAATGCCTGTCACCTGAGGAATAGATGAAAAAGATGTGCTATTTTTATACAATGGAGTATTATTCAGCTATAAAGAATGATAAACTTGAAGCCTTCATATTTAAGCAGATGCTACTTGAAGATATACTCATAAGTGAAATAAACCAGACCCACGTGTGTAAATATCGTAGTCTCCCCAGTGTAAGAACTCAAAAGAAGTAATAAAAATTAAAAAGTATAACATAACTAAATGGAAAGTGAGAACTTAAGGATTAAACAACCAATAAAAGAGGGCAAGGAGAAAAGCTAGGAAACATGACAGGGGCAAAATCATACATTTATATACACAAGATGGTTAAGTCAATGATACTGAGAATCTCCATCAGGTTTTTGAAACTAGCAGTTACTTTGTAGGATTCTCACCCTAACTATATATGCTGATACCTGTGAACTAAGCAACTGCACCGAGGATCACCATACCAAGGATCAGCATACTAGGGCCAGGCTTGAATGTCTGTCATTCCCGTCTTCTAAATATGTACTGCTTCTAATGTCATATCAATTACTTTATACTCTCTCTCAAGTAAATGTTTGTTTAAAAAATGGTAATAAATGAAAACAAGAGACAAGAAATAAATGTCATAGGACTGTCCTGCTACAATGTTGTATATGGTTAGATTTCTAAATTTCTGTGTAAAAATGTGTAATTGTTTATTTTTATATTTTTTCACATTCTATGGGGATTTAAAGTTTAGCATATCAACAATTGTTGGAAAATATCTGTTCCATGTTATGTCTAAGGTGTCTGATATTAAGACAGATAGCAATGTGGAGCTGAACTGCCTATGTTGTAGGGAAATAATATCATTAGGCTTCTCTTCTGGAGGGTTAACAACCTAAATTTGCAAATGAAAAAATTAGAGAAAAAGAAGGGCTACAAGGATAGCCAATATTTTGGCCCTAGCCCTTAAAGGTCAGTGAGGACTCAGGACATAAGAGAACCTGCAGTGTAACATCCTGTAACTCAGTGGTATCCCAAAGTTTCTGATCAAGGAGATTATGGGGCCACAGAGGAAACTGATCGATGATGTAGAGTGTGCCTAAGGAGAGTCACAGGGAGAGAAAACATTCTCTCAGGCTTTCACAGAAAGCAAGTTGGTCAAGCAATGGCCATGACTCATCCAGATGGCTGACACTGACAAAAGATCTACAAACTGCTGTATAGGGTCTCAGGGTAAGTTCCGAGGAGATTTGACTGATCTTGTCAGATACAAAAGTTACACTTTTTTTGTTACACAGGTCTTTCTTTATCTTGGTCTTTTATTTTTTTATTTTTTAAAAATTTTTTATCTTGGTCTTAACCGTCCACCAGAAAAGTATAAACACAAGGTATTAAAAAGTAAAGCCAGGGCTGGTGAGATGGCTCAGTGGTCTAAAGCACCTACTTAGAACAAGCTTAGGAAAGCACAGGGACCGCGGTTCAATCCCCCAGCACCACATGCCAGCCAGCCCCGCCCCCTGGTGGGCTGAGCTGGCCACACACACACACACACACACATAAACAAATAAAAATATTTTAAAAAAAAGTAAAGCCATATTAAATATGCTGAGCTGTAAAGGCTCAAGTCAACAACATCTGACATTACCAGTCATGTGGATAACCCACTACTATTATGGACTAGTGGACTATTTTGGACTATTTTGCTGAATTCATGCACCTACAATATTTAAATGACAATGGAATACCCTTCTCTGACAAAGCTAAACAAAAATGGGATACAAATGAAGGACCATTTTGTGTCTGTATATACAAAATAGGATAGATATACAGCTACTTTCTCTTAATTCAATGAGAAGAAAGATTTGTACTAATAGTGTTTAGACAAGATATCATGTCTGTATCTCGTACTATCAATAATTACTACAAAGACGATATGCAATGTATTAATTATTGTAACTGTCTTACTAACCTGTTTTGAAACTGTCTCATTGCTATTTCTTTCTCAATAAAATTAATTTTTAAAAAAGTGGGCTAGAATTTTTATTAGAAAGCTATTACTGTCAACTATAGGCTGGAAAGTAAGAAGTTTTAAAATCAACTGTGATTTTAAACTATTAAGAATTTCCTAACTCTGCCATTTAAATTAATTCATTTTTATCTTTTAAAAGATAACTTTTAACATATTAAGATTGTTTATTTTTGTATTATTTGTTGAAACTGTACTTCCGATTTGATTTGAAACTGTCTCATTGCTGTTTATCAATAAAACTTTGAAAAAAAAAGAAAAAAAAAAGATTGTTTATTTCAGGCTTACCTCATGTCTGAAAACAAATCCTATGATGGCAGCGACTAGTTCAACCAAAAAAATGAGAATCAGAAACATGGCATACTGTGGGAATAAAAAAAAATACAAGTCAGCAGAAAGAAGATCTATCACAGCTACAAAGAGAGTCAAAGTAAGGGGAAGCTTTTGCTCACTCAGCTCAGTGTGTTTTTATTAAAAAGGGTAGGGAAAACAATATTAAAATGTCTAGTTTGAAAGTGAAAATTTAAAAAATAAAAATAATTTTTAAAAAGTGAAAATTGGCAGCTTAACTATTACTTTGTAAATTTTCATAAGGAACGGAAAGAAGTGTAAAAGGTTATGGCCAGCTCCAAAAAAAACCAAAACCTACAACATATAAGGCTTTTTTAAAACCAAGAATCAATTCTAAGGAAAACAAGAACTTACCAGTTTTAGCATCCATGCAGAAGCTCGACAGGTAGCAAAGCAACCAAAGGTGCCCAAAAGAATAATGACAGTGCCAGTGACAATGAGCACGAAGGGGACATTGGTGGCCTGCTCATTCAAAAGCAAAAAATAATTTTCCAGGCTCACCTTACCCCAAATGCCCACAGCAAGAAGGATTATGCCAGTGACCTATGGGAGGAATCAAGAGAATAGAAATAGTTAAGCCCTTTATAAATTAGCATCTTCAAATTAAAAACCCAGAAGCATTTAAGGCACAAAGGATGTGACCATGAATTTAGCAGTCTGGTGGTCATAGTCCCGCTGCTGGGAGAAAGGGGGAGGATGGACGAGGGTAGGAAGGAGAGCTGCACACAAAGGTAAACAGAACTACACATCCTATCGAAATTCTTTAAATTTATCTGTGGGGGGGGGGAGATAGCTCAGTAGAAGAAGTGCTTGCCTGGCAAGCTCAAGAGCCTGAGTTCAATCCCCGGTTCCGCAAAAAAAAAAAAAAAAAAAAAGAATAATAAATTCATCTGTGTGCATGGGGGAGCAAACACAATCTCAGGGTATACAGTATCTGCCACGGGATTGAAGCTTCCTGTTTTACTCTCCTGGTTTAGGATGAAAACCTTCGGAGGGGAGCGCGTTTTAGTGCGAGAAATACCCCCCTCTGCCCTCCCCGAGTTAAGAGATGGGCGCAGGATACAAAGGATAGTACTCAGAAGTAAACTCAAGGCCAGATCGGTGGGAGTGCAGCCATAGCACACTTACCTGTGAAGCACTCCCCCGTCCTGAAGCAATGCAAAGAAAAGATTTAGTACTATTCTGCTTACAAGCACTCAAAGGTGCCAGTCGAGCCTCACCTTTCCGATTCGGGGACATCCTTCGCGTGGACTGGGGGCTTCATTCACGCCCTCCCCTCCCGCAGCAGCGAGCGCTCGCTCCTCCGGGCCTCGACTCAGGCCTCGGGCTGCTTTGTTCGCACCCAGTTAAACGCGCAGCCCCGGGTCCGAGCTCAGGCCAGGCCCTCGGCTGTGCCAGCCGCGGGGTCCCAGGAACTACGGTCACCCAGACCCCACCCCACTCCGGGCCCACACTGCCTCGGCTCAGGTCACACCCCCACCTGAACCCGCCGTTCTGTCCTTGAGCACCACAGACTCTTACCCAAAAGACGAAGGTGTAGATAAGAAGAAGGCTCTTGAAACAAGTAATGACTGGTTTGGTCTGCAGTCTCCGAGAAGGGGACGCCATTAAGGAGCCCCAGCCCCGGCACCACCGCACCGGGCGTTCGAACAAGGAGAGCAAGGCGCAGTCCCCGAGTTCCTCCGAAAGTGTACGAATCCCAGCAACTGAGAAAAGCCGGAAACGCGCTATAATTTTCTAGAGGGAAAAGTCCGGGAGGCTGTACTGAAACTGGCCACAATTTCCGAGCGCCCCCTGCTGAACCTTATTAGAAACTACATAGAAAGCTTCTAGTCCTGTATGTTTCACAGGTCTTCCAGTGGAGCTTGCTCCGTTTTATTCTCTCTCAAAAGATTTTCACTGCCTTCACCGCTCTCTCGCCCTTAAAACTCAATCATATTGTTTCTATCACAAGCACTCTGAGCAGCGTCCTAAGATTCGGCCTCCTGGCCTCTGGTATCCCAGAAAGAAGGAAAAGCATGAAAGCAATTTAGAGGTGACCCAAGAATATGTTACTACATGAGAAAATGATCACAAGATATATGTTCCCAGGGGCCAGGGAGATAGCTCCGCAGACGAAAGGGCCTCCTTCGGCAAGCTTAGGCAAGCGCAGGGACCGCGGTTCGATCCCCTGCACTACGTGCCACTCCAGCCCCACCCCCACGGCAGCCTGAGCCAGCCAGAGTCAGTCAGGGTTTATGGCGCAGGCCTGTAATCCCAGCGCTGGGGAAGCTAAAAGCAGGAGGATCACTGTGAGTCCAACCTGCGTAGTGAGACCCTGTAACAACCAAATGCATTTTTAAAAAAGAAGTATATTTCCAAAATGAAATGAAACATCACAGAGCAATACATACAGCTGCATGTGTTTAGATAGAAATTGAAACAGTGAAGTTTACCTGGGTGGTGGAATCAGGCTGATTGTTTTTTCCTCATTTGTTTTGCATTTTTCAATTTGCTTTGGGGGATGAGGAGGGGTGATAAGAATGTATGAACCGAGGGAAATAATCACTTGTTGAAAGAATTCCAAAGGTAGCTATTAAAGATAATAATCAATTTTAGAATTTCTTATAGAGGTTTGAAAACTCCATTATTACTCTCCTCTTTTATCTAAGTGATTGTAAAGTTCACCCATTAACTACAATTTTTTTCTTTTTTAATTTTTTAAAGAGAATAAAAAATAGTTTAAAAGAACATTAGAAACGATACAGGATTTCACTACAAAATGATAGGAATTCAACAATGGTTGTTATATTGATATAACTGACTTCAAATTGGTTATTCAAATTACTAAATATATGCCTGTGCCTGCAAATTTGGTCAAGAAATATTATAAAATTAAAAAGGAGAGAAAAAATTAAGCATTAACTGCTCCTTTCAATGCTAAGTAATTGTAGCCCCTCTATTAAATGTTGAAAGTGAAAGGCACTGCGTATTTCAGTCCCCTGCTTTTTGCCATTAAGAACCAACTGATCACCGGCTAAGGACCAAGGTCGTCCAGCTAACAGAAAAGTCCAAAGAGAGATTCCCAAGCTTAATAATCCAAGCTGCTTTATCTGTTATACAAACTACAGGTTTTTTTTTTTTAGTTTCAAGATGTCTACCTTTCCCCAAACAAATTCTGTCAGTTGTTTAGATCTTCCTAGAAATTGGTACTGTATGTCATTACCAAAGTGTTAAACTCCTTGCAGGATGGGAATGAATTACCAAAAATTTCTTTGCTCATCTATCCAGAAATACTGCTAAGTCAACCATAGTAATAGAGTGAAAAAAAATTTAATATTTAAAACTCAGCCATTTACACATTTTCCTCAACAAAAACTGAGACTCTTTGTGGCTGGGTTTCATGAAGAGTTCCATGTAAAGATCAGTTTCCAGAGGTCTAAAGAACTTGGATCACGAAAAATGAGCAGAGCCTTACAGAATATTGATGTTATCTCCACCTATAAAAAGGATGTAAATCTTTATTTTGAAAGGGATGCAGTGGAAGCGCTTAACCCAATATACAGAAATAAGTCCATATATTTATTAAGCTACAGACGTATATTAATTCTGTGCCTCTCATGGGGGGTATCTTAGTTACTCGTCTCTCGTTGCTGTGACAAATACCCCACATCCAAAATGAAGGAAGGAAAGGTTTGTTTAGCTCACAGTTGCTGGAGGTTTCAGCCATACTCAGCTGGCTCCAACGCAGAGCGGCACATGGCAGAGGGCAACCTTTCATGGCAGCAGAAAAGGGCAAGAACATTATTATGACTGATCTGTAAATTCTTCATTTTTATCTTGGACAATTTTTATTGTTGTATTCATTTATGTTTGTAAATAATTTATTTTCAGTTTGCAATCTATTAAAAAATTAAAATAAAGATGATTTACTCTGAAAACAAAAAAAAAATAGAAAAGAGCAAGAGCACATGGGAGGGGAAGCAGCAGCTCAAGCAGCTAGCTTCTCTTCCCTCCTTACATTGTAATGCAAATCACCTGCTCCAGGGCAGGTGCAACATCCACACCCACAGTAATCTATCACAAACTCCAGAGGCTGCCCCAAGACTGCTGGAGACTTTGGGGGGACACCTAGGCACAAATCATAATGGGGGGGATGAAATGAGCCTAGATGTTACAGATTCTTAACTCCAGAGGCTGCCCCAAGACTGCATGAGACTTTGGGGGGACACCTAGACACAAATCATAACAGGGGGGGATGAAATGAGCCTAGACGTTACAGATTCTTACTGTGTCCTGCTTTCTGTCACATCTTAGGCTCCAAGAGTTACCAAATGACACATTCTAAAGTGCCCTCAATTGAAATAAGTGATTTACTGTTCTATAGAACCTCGGGATAGGGATTTTTTTCATGTGGTTATGATCAAAATGCATTTACAAAATAATATAAAAACAAATAGATTAATAAAGTAGTACAGGCAGCCTGATCTTACCATTGCCCTTTTTCACATCGTGTGTGAAGGTCCATGTTTCAATGTTATGTATTGTAAACATATTGGTATATATTGTTTTAGCATAGGATATAGTTAAAGTCTGGTTTGTCAATGAAAGGGTAAGCTCCTTGAGGGCAGAAGCTCAGTATCAGTTACATGTGCTATCTCTTGCAGAATAGGGGTAGAAGGCAATATGAGCTCCCTATACAATCATTTTCAGCATCACTGATGCAAGCTCAACTTCACAAAGGGCCTTTTACTGTACTGCTATTACAACAAATCCTTTTTTCACAAAGGAGAGGTTAATGCACAAATTTTTCTGCTTCAAATTTTGTTTTAAATATACACCAAAGAACCAGAAAGCAGGAAAGTTCAGAACCAGAAAACAGTAAAGTTCTATTGACTTGGTTGCATAGAGCTTTCCTGTGCTTTGAATATTGACCTAGGACCAGTTCCTATAAACGTCCTGCCAGACATCTGAGGTACAAGGGAACAACTATTAGAGAATAAATTAGTGCACTGCCAGGCTTTATACTAAAATTTTATACTAAAATCAGGACGTTCTAACAAAAATATATGGATAAAATTAATAAATCATTTATCTATATATTTTAAATTGTCTTTTTACATAAGTACTTCAAGGCAAAATTGTCTGGAAACCTTCAGGCATTCAACTTTGAAAATGCCACGTACCCCACATCTACAGAAGAGAAGGCTGGAGGAGAGGAGATGTATGCAAAGCTTTCACTCTTGGTTAAATGATCCTAATTGAAATGTCTAGTATTAAAAACAAATATCAAGGACGAAGTCTTGCTAACTCCTTGTCATTTCAAACAGAATATTTCCTCTGAAGCTTAGGTTTATATCATGTTCTGGAAGTGATTTGCATTGTTAGCCTAAGAGCAAAGATATATTTCTGTGGCTAAAGAAAACAAAATAACTAAAGCAAAAGCCACATCTCATGTCCAAGACTATGTTGACTTTCTCCCGCTCCCTCCCTTTGCCACTCACAACGCTGCTCTGTTTGCACAACAGTCAGTGCCAAATTAAACCAAGGGCTGGCATGGAAATTAATGGTCCTATAGCCATAACACCTTATACCAGGGCAACTTATCCTGCTACACCCACTTCCTGCATCCCTCCACCGTGCTATCAAACCCAGAAATTCGGTTTAATTTCAACCAAGGTCCAAACCCAAATTAAAGGGATAAATTAATTTGTTAAAATATTCATAATTGTAAGAGTGAAAACAATGTACCAGTCACTGTTGCTAAGTGCTTAATACCTGTTATGTCAAGCATTATAAAATCCCTATTATGGTGTCAGCACTACCCCTGCCCTCATTTTACAAATGAAGAAACAGGTTCAAAGAAGACAAGTAACTTACCTCAGACTAAGCCCAACGCAGTTCTGTTTCTTTCATCAGAAACAAGACCCATTCTGTGCGCAGACATGGCTGTTGTTATACAGCCCTCTTTGTTTGGAATGACTTAGACACTTAGCTAAAAGCAAAGGGTCTTTGAACCCCCCAAAGCACAAGATGGTTGACTATTGCACGAAATCTGCCTTGATCTTGGAGAGGTTTTGTTTTTGTTGTTGAGTTTTATTTTGCCTTCAATCCAATTGTCCAATCACCTAAGACATAATCCTTCTTGTCTCATTGACAAGAGAGAGTGAACTAATTTTTCTGTTTCAATCTCTGTTTTACTATTTTCTTTTTTGGTACTGAGAATCAAACTCTGGGCCTTGCACTTGCTAGGCAGGCACTGTGCTGCTGAGCTATATCCCCAGCCCTTCTGTTTCAAACTCTTTTTTTTTTGTGTGTGTGTGTGTGTGGTACCAGGGATTGAATTTAGGACCCTGCATTTGCCAGACAAGCACTTATTCTATTCAACTATCTCCCTGGGCCCAATGACTTTTAATACTAGGTTTTTTTTTAAATTTTATTTATTTATTCATTGTGTGTGTGTGTGTGTGTGTGTGTGTGTGTGTGTGGCTAGCTCAGCCCACCAGGGGGTGGGCTGGCTGGCATGTGGTACTGGGGGATTGAACCATGGTCCCTGTGCTTTGCTAACCTTGTTCTAAGTAGGTGCTTTAGACCACTGAGCCATCTCACCAGCCCCAATACTAGGTTTTAAATAGCTTTCTTTGGCAAACCTTAGGCAAAGGAAATGATACTATCCAAAGCTCACTTTTGAGCCAGCCCTCCCCTGTGCCACTTCTATCATCCACCCCTGCTTACCACTAATCACCCACTCAATCTCATTCTATCTCCCTCTACTTTTGTATTGTGTTTTCTTGTTTACATCCAACTAATATGATCATCTACCCAATAAGCAAGGCCTGGGCCCCACTTCTTGCCCACACTTTAGCCTCAACATTTTCCCTCTACTCAATGTCCATCTTCATCTCAGTTGAATAAGAATATGGTCCTCTCACAGACTCACCCCTTTTCCTAACATTAGTGCTCAAGGTCCGACTATATGCTCACATTAACGTACATCCTTTAATTACTGCAGTAATTGCTTTGCATTTCTACTTAGCTATTTTACATCCTGCAGTCTAGATATTCAAAAATTATAGAAGAGCCAGTATAGCAGAGCCTCTGTGCCTATTCTATGTTCTCTGGAACACCCTAGGACATAATGCCCAATGGATGAGCTCACCATATGATCAGCCAATCCCTTTTGACCTCATTGTGCAATAAAGCAAGGCTGCTTTTTAGGATTATTTAAATTAAATAAAAACTAGATGTCTAAACCATCTTGCTATCACAGTGTCATATCACAAGAATATTAAATTGAGCTGCTGATATAGGACGTACAGTACGGCAAAGCTGGTTAGAGAAGTGGGCAGGTCCTGTAAATTGTAAGACCCCAGGGTGGTACTAGGTAACTCTAAGGACCCCTATGTAGAACTTCCTATGAGTTTTCACAAGATGTAGGCTGCATATAAAGACACAGATGCCACAAGGAGCTCACTATTGTGACATTTCACAATAAGCCCATCCTCAGGTCTGCTCTTTTTTCCCTTTTTCTCCTTTGCTCAGCCAAAATTTGCCCTGCAGAACTAGTTCATACCTTAGCCTTTCACTTCTCATTTTCAAATACACTTTTGGCACCAGTTTTGGCTTGTCTCACTCAATTCTTTGTTCAAGACAAGAAGGACCTGTAACACTTTGGTTTCATGAGCTATTGTTAAAGGAACTACTTGCCAACACTGCTAGATAATGTCTTGAGACATTCCTCTTTGGTGTCTTAAGAACTAGTAAAAAGAAATCAGCCATTTTACTTAAAATAGGTTTTATGTGTTAATCATAAACATTAACACTCTCATTTTTTAATTTCTTCTCTGTTGTTCCTTAAATTACACTTGTCAGAATACATTTTATCTGTTATTCACATAATGACTTTTCCATTTGAATTTTCTAATTCCTTTTCTAGTATCCCTTCAATTACCTTTGGCTAAGTGCCTATTATGATATTTAAAAGTATTTCCTGTTTATTTTAAAATCTAATATTTTCTGTTGCAGCCATTTAAAAATTTCATTGGTTAACTCATCTTTGTACCTTTAAAAAATAGTTTATTGAGCAGGAATGACATTTTATTTCCTATTGTCTATCATTCTTTTCCATTATTCATTTGCTGGAATTTTTATGTCCATTTTTTCCATACACTCTTGTCAGATTTTCTATGGATAATTTTCTTTTTATATATTTAGTATAGGGTTTACAGGGTCTTACTACACAGATCAGACTCATAGTGATCCTCCTGCTTACAGCCTCCCAAGTGCTGGGATTACAGGCGCATGCCACCACGCCCAGTCTCAGTTGTTGTCTCAGCGCGCCCTGGGGGTGGAGCCAGCACAACATGCCAGGGATCAAATCCTGGTCCCTGTGCCTGCCTGAGCAGGCACTTTAATCCTCTGAGCTATCTCCCTGGCCTTTTTATAAATCATTTCCATCCTTGACCTTACTTTCTTGTCAAAAAAGCTGATAATATGTAGTTCATGACATATACAAATTAAAAGTATTTTTGAATGGTGCTAAAATTCATAATTCTACACATTTTTTTTCTAGTTACATACTATAGAAATAATCCCTGAAAGTATAGCTCTCCTACAAATTTTTTTCTAAGGAAGTTTTTTCTAGTCTAGCCTCTTTGTGTTTTGCTGACAGCTCAGATAAAGTCACTTTCTGTATGTAGTATAGTTTTTAAAAGCAATACTTTATTGGCTGCTGAGAGGCTTCATAGTAAATTTTTGTTAATTAATTTTATTGGTACAATTTATATATGTATAATGATCATAGTCATCATAGGGAATTTGTACCTGTACATGATGTATTGTTATTCTTTTTCTTCTCATTCCCTCCCTTCCCTTCAGCTCCTTCTCCCCTCCTTATTTATAAAAGCTTTGCTTCCATTTTATCCTTTTTTCTCATTTTTTCTTTTCTTTTCCTTCCTTTCACCTATTTCTTGCTCACCAATTGTATTCCCAATGCTGCTTAGCTTATAGTAGATGACCAGTAAAGATTTCCTGAACATATAGAATGGAAAGAAAAAATTTGTTTGATGTATCTTCTTGATCCCATAAAGGCAGCAATTTCTATTTCTTTTGTTTACTGATGCCCTCAAGTACCTAAAACAATGTGCGGCATCAAGGTAAGCATTTGTTATAGATGTCCATCAGATAATTGTTGAATTAATTAGATATTTTAGGATGTAAAGGATTTTGTCACTCTCACTATGTTCACTATCCTTGATCCAGTAGATGCTAGATCATGTCTTCTGCTTCTTTATATTGCTGTCATACTGTTGAACAATGGTAAATATTCAACATATAATTGTGTTGCTGGATTGGAAAGTAAACAGATTCTGGTATATTATTTTAATCTTTGTATTATTTTAAACTCAATTCTTCCCTTGATGATTAGAAAGGGTTACCAATGTCCTTTTGTACAGAGAGAAGAAACCTTTTCTACAGCCACTAAAAATTTTTCATTTACAATCACTGACTCTTTGAGAGATAGACTTATCAATTGTGAAGAGAAAGAAAGGTAAGGAGCTGGTCTCTACAATGCAAGAATAATTTCATTACCAGCTATAGATGAAGAAAGCTTGCTTAGTGAAGAGAAACTTAGCCCTCTTTTTTTAAATTTTATTTATTTATTTATTTATTTATTTATTTATTTGTGTGTGTGTATGTGTGTGTGACCAGCTCAGCCCACCAGGGGGCAGGGCTGGCTGGCATGTGGTGCTGGTTGATTGAACCGGGGTCCCTGATGCTTTTCTGAGCTTGTTCTAAGTAGGTGTTTTAGACCACTGAGCCATCTCTCCAGCCCCACTTAGCCCTCTTTCTGAGACCACAGGGAAACAGCTTAGCAATGGCTTTCACTTTGTCATACATGTATCATTTAGATTCACTTGAAAACTTCCCCTAAAGGCCTCTCTAGGCATACTTGCCCCCCATTCTTATTATAAGAAATCAGTCTTGAATCTTCAGGCAAGAAGTGCTTTGTAAGACTGAGGGTAGAATCCTTACTTGACATGGTCGAGGCTATAATTTTGCTCACTGAGTATACTCTACAATACACACACACACACACACACACACACACACACACACACGAGTGCTTGGTAAAACTATGTAAACAAAATAATCCTATTAGAAACTAGGGTCCAGAAGAGTTAAGGTTTTAGACTGTGTCTGACCTGTACCATATGGATAGCAAAGTAATGTGGGATTTGCGTACTAAAGAATTACAGAGGAAAATTCAAGCAAATTTAGAAATCAAACTTCTACCTCCTATTGGAGTTTGTGAAATTGCTTTTCATTCAATCTTGAAATCATACTAAGTCATAAGAAGGAGTGCTCTTCAGTGCGGCTCCTCTCTGGAAGCCTTTTAGCCAGCCTGTTAGTCATCACTATACTCACGGGCTTGCGGCCAGCACCACTCACATTTCCCCCTGTTCTGCAGCAGACAGACTGAGTTCCTCTAATCCTTCTGTTTCTTCTCTATCATGTCCCTAAAACCCTTCTCTTATGGAGGCCGAGCTATAGCTTTGGGGATAATATAGCTTTAAGGCAACTTTTGGCAGATGTGAAAGTATTAACATCTGGGCAGTGTTAACAGAATCCTGGAGGCTGGGACAGACCTGGAGCCACTCGTAGGAATGTTCAAGTAAAAGATTTTTTTCCCCGCCTTATGAGAGGAACAGACAGAAAGGAGAAGGAGAAAGAGAAAAAAAGAGACCAACAAAACCCCATACCGACAGGTAAGACCTGCAATTAACTCCTCACACCATACTACCTTGTTTCACAGCATTAGAGGATAAAGAGACTCAGAAAATGAATGACGGGGCTGCGAGTTCAAGAGGGGACGAAGCTCTTTTATGAAATTGGACCACATTCTGGTTTTGTTTGTGCCATTACCAGACTGCAGACGCAGGTTCCCACTACCTTCTCAGCCCACAGCAGAGAGGTAGCTGACTCTGGTGAGTCACATTTTCGATCTGAGATCAGGGAGGAGGCGGGCAGGTAAGGGGTCACAGACTAAGAGTATCTGCTCTGCCAAAAAGAAAGCCCCTGCTCAAGAATAAACTAACTGAATTGAGCCTGGTTGTGGGGAAAGGGGTAGTGATTTTCTAGAGGTGTTCATTGTCCTGGAGGTTTCTTTAGTCTCCTTCTTCTCCTATGTTGCCTTTTCTAAAATCCATCTCCTGTCTTTAACTCTATCAGATTTTGTTTTCTTTCTAGCATCCTTTCCATATCATTTCACTTTCCTTACTTCCCTTGTGCTCTCTCACTTTTTTTTCCTCTCACTTAATTACCACTCTCTAGGTAGAATCCAAGGCCAAGTATCTATGAACTGGAAAATGAATTTTTGCCTTTCTTGGACTTTGCACATCCCTTTTTAGACTCTGGTCAAAATCTGTCATCTTTTCTTCTCCATTGCTGGGACTGACTCCTCTAAGCATTGCACTTCATTGAAGGCATATGGGTACTTCCTGAAAGGTTCAGTGGCCAATTTCTATCAATGGTAGTAAGTTGTAATACTGTTATTTACTAAGTATTTTCCCACTGGGAGCCACAAAAAACTCTCACCCCATTAGAGTGAGGACAGGATGGGAAGTGAGAGGGCAGCTGCAGTCTGCTCACCCTTTCTTCATTGAATTCAACAGGTTTCCCAATCTCTCTGACTTACCACTGCCTCAGCAGGATAAAAACTAGAAGGTTAGGCTGGAGTTGAAAACCATAAGCACTACCAAACCGCTAAGCCTCAAAAACCCCTGCTAGGAACAGAGCCAAGGTATGGTTACTGCCTCTGAGACTAAACAAGGGAAATAGCCACTCCTGTCTAGTAAGAACTCAGTAATAATCACGTCAAACATATTGATTGCTTTGTTGTGTTACTATTATTTCTATTTTATTGATGAGAAAACAGAGTCTCAGAGAAGTTAGTGATTTTTTAAGTTTAAGGTCCCCTAGCCAATAGGTGACAGAATTGAATTCATATCTAGATCTATGTAACTCCAGAGTTCAGACTCTTAGATCAAATGTGCTAATATGTTCCCAGATTAGTGATTAGGAAATATCAGTTTAATGGATGAAACCATTAACTGGCAGCCAGTACATGGTCAGATTCTATCCTGGTTCTCTATGACTCTATTAGCCATTTCCTGGCTTAGGAATTGCAGTATCTCTCTCTATAACTTGGACCATGGAATATTTGCATCTGATTCCATCAGAAAAGGGACCATAACCAAGAGAATTACTATTCTACAGAGTGGAAAATCTTTATGAGAAGGATGATATAACAAACATTCATTAATTTAGTTTTTTTCTTTTTCCTCACAGATCCCATATTTCTGCTTCTTTTCACTTTTGGAAATTCATAAATAGCTAACTTTTGAAAGTCATTTATTTATTCTGCTACTTCTATAGCACTATTCTTATTTCCCAAACCCCCCACCCCTCAAGAATGGCTGGTCAACTAACTCAAGGAAGTGCTCTCTTTCTGCTGCTCTTCCTTATTCCAACAGTGACGCCAACATGGTACGCAGGTAAGTTGTAGGAGCTGTGGTATGGTACTTCTAAGAAGGTCAGGGCCTAACACCACAATTTGGACAAAAAGCAGACCACAATGAGAGATTATTATTTTACATACAGATAAAAGCTATTAAAGGACAATCAATGTTACTAACCATTGCATCGGCTATCAAGGAATGACTTTGAGACACCCTAACAAGAGCTATTTGAAAATAGGATGTACCAGAACAAAAATGAAAGTTTAAAAAAATGGTCTTTGGGCTAGGGAGATAGCTCGCTGGTCTAAGTGCCTGCTTGGCAAGCATAAGGACCCAAGTTCGATCCCCTGTACCACATGCCATGCCGGCCCCGGAACTCCAGGCACACAGTGCAAGTCACTGAAACCGGGTATGGTGGAGCACACCTGTAATCCCAGCACTGGGGAGGCTGAGACAGGCAGATCACTACAAGTCTGAAGTGTGCAGCAAGACCCTGTACCAAACAAATAAATAAATAAATAAATACATAGGTTAAAATATTTTTTAAAAAAATAGAGTCTTTGCGGCTACTGTTTCAGCTGCATTGTACTTCACTCTCTGATGCAAGTGTGTTGTATAGGCATTAGCAATACTGCCCTCACTGAATATTCACTGGGCAGCAGCACAACCCCAAGCAAAAGGATGGTTGTACTTAACTCTCTGAAAAACCATTTTCTAATAAATCCTCTGTGAGTCAAGTCTTTAATACTAATTTTTTTGTGAGTCAAACACCCTTGTGAAGACCACAAAAACAGGATTTAGACTACACATCTCATTTGGACAATAAATTGAGACAGGCAAACTATTTTAAGAAAACAAGGATCCATCACAGTTCTTTCCATTTTTACTAACCTCCTGGACCTTGTTTATGAGATTTTTATGGCCCCTTTAGGCTAAAGCTGTTAATGACATTATTGATAACATTCATTTAATCAGGAATTCCCCAGTTTGTTCTGGCTTGTTCCTTATTTCAGAAGGGGTGGAGATTTCTAGATTCCTGGATTTTTCACTCTTCACCTCTAGAGACACAGAGAGTCAAGGAGGGACTCAGTGAGATGGAAAGGGGAAGGGGAGGGATGAGGGAAAGATAATGAGCGGACAGGATTCTGATGAAGCCCAGCTGGCATTCTGAGAGCTAAGAATATTCTGTGGCCTGCATTTTCTGGTCTCACAGGGGCTGGGGTGTTTGGGGAAATGAGACAGGCCCAACCAGTAGGGCTAGGAAAACATCCAAAGATGAATAAATAACAAACTTCCCCCATCATAGCCACAGTCACTGCAAGCTAAAATTTTCCACATGTTCTTAGCTCCTGATGGAGGCCTTTGGCAGTAGTGTTGTTTGTCTGGAACAGCTGCATCAACTTTTCAAACAAATATGCAAACTTTTTCCCTTTTTTGGTTTAACCTGCATTTATAGAGAGTAATGCACAAGGGCTGACAATGAGATGAAATTCAAATCAAGCTGCCAGCAAAGCACACACGGGGTGTAAAGGAGCCCCAAGTTTCCAGGACATAAATATGCGTCTGTCCTCCCAACCTCTCTCTAGCTTCAGTTTAAATGTGGAAAGCCATATTCCAGCCAAAGACTGTAGGGCTAAAGGAGTGAAGATTAGATGGCTCAAAACCCAATTTTGAACCTGTGTATGAAACCTCATTGCTTGAAAAGGTCTCTGCCTTTCTTAGGACAGAAGCCTAAGCTGTTGGAGTTCTGAACACAGGGTCATTATTATAAAAGTAAGATTCCTTTGAAGTTCCCAAAGAGCTGTTTGCAAAGAAGGGAATCCTTCCTTTCACATGAATCACCAGGGTCATTACTTCTTGAAAAGAATCCAGGTGGTGAGGCCACTGTACCCCTAGTTGGCTACATGGTGGAGACATTTGGGGTTCCTATGATTACACCCTACATTGTATCTCAGCTGCTATGGTTGCCTCCATTCATTTGTTCACTCACCCATTCAGTGAACATTGAGCAGACCCTGTGCATCCAGGACTGATTTATTTCCTTCTATAGCTCCAAGATCAAGTGGGAATGGCGCAAGGAAAGCAGCCAACTGGAGATTGAGAAGCAGTCAGTAACAGGGTCCAGGGCTACTCTTCAAAAGTTAGAAGGTTTAGGGATACAAATTAAGCAGACTGGCATATCTGCTCAGTCCAAGAAGTCAGACTGTATTTGTCATCATAAAACAAGCTCTAATAGTAACCTCAAAATAAATTTCAAGTACCAATTACATTTCCAACTGTATCTTTATGAAAGTCAGTCCTTAGAGGGTCTGCCTATGCTATGGAAATTGGAGGAACTTAGTAACAGAGCATATAGAAACCAACTACTGAATGCTCTAAAGAATCAAAAGTGCTGTTCAAGCCCTTCCCCTTCCAAAGCTAAAGAGGGGCAAACAGATGGAATAATGTAAGGAGTGTATCCCTCTAGTTTCATTTATTGACCTAAACTTAGCATCCTACTGCATATATAAAATACTCAAAGGTTTAGTAGAGAATTTAAAAAGTTAAAGGAAAAGAAGTAGCCTAAGTCACTCCTGGCACAAAGGAAAGCTGTCAATGGTCTGGTTACTTCCCCAAACTGGTTGGTCATTATTATTATTATCTGATTAAATCTTCCCCTTGGTTTTCCCACATTCACTGTAATTCTGGAAAGGAGTAAAATGCTTGAGGGTCTTTAGTCCTGCACACAGAGAGTAAAAAAGATGGATGGCAAGAAATATTTTTTCCTTGTAGGTCATTGTCAAAAACTCCTCTTCCATTTCAGTGTTCGAGTTTGGTATATAGGAGCCAAATGGACGTGAACTGAATTCTGCTACTTATTAACTGGGAGAACTTGGGTAAACTCCCTTAATTCCTCTGTGTCTGATTTTTCATGTGTAACCCATTAAGGTACTATGGTGACATAATGGGAGATAACATATGCTTAAAATAGCGTAGGAGCCGAGAGTTCTTAGCAGTCCTTGCTGTTGTTGTTGTTATTGTTATCCAGCTATAGGCTTCTGACACTCCGGTTTTCGCTTCTGATAAACAGGTGTTTCCTCCCTGCTGAGCCTTTTCTCACAAGCTAACTCTTTAACAGAGTGAGGAGACCTAATATTTTAGGAATCACACACATCTGTCCTCCTGTTTACAGGAACAGTAAAGATTTGAAGCTAATGCTAAATTGAAACAGCTGAGAAGAATTTCATGCCTCACAAAAAGCCCTCCCATGCACGAAAAGAGAAGCCAAGGGAGACAAAGGCCTAAGCAGAAATAAAGGCAGCCCAAAGTAACTGAAATGGGAAAATGGGGAAAAAAAGAACAATTTTAAAATGAACTCTTTCCTTTGGAATGAAGGCAAACCAACAAAGACATGATTTCATAAGGCAAGCCTTCAATTTGATTCATTCCTTGTTCACCAAGTTAGACTAGTTTTCCAGTATGCCAAACACCCCCTGGCTGGGCCTCTGAGGAGTAGAGAAGCTACATCATCCAGCTCTGTGCTCCACCCTTTAGTGCAGGGGGCCCTGTACCTCTTCCTAGAGAGAAGGATTCAGACTTGCGGTCTCATTGTTTACACAGGCTAACGGGCTCCAGCAGCAAAACCCAGCCCTGTCCTGCAAGCACTGTCTCATGGAAATGGAGAATTGTCTTTAGACTTCAGCATGGTTTGCTGCTCCATTTCTCTTGTCTTTTCTCCCAGCCAGCAAAAAGTGCTCACAAGACTATTCTCATTCCTTCTTGACTTTTGAGCCATCCTTTCTCCCTTAGCATGCTACTCTCTCCAATGACCATCAAGTGTCAATGCTCATGCCCTTTAGGTTAGTGGAAGCTTGAGTGATTGTTTCCCTCCAAAGGACTTTGAGAAGGTTGGTAAGGAAGGAAAGACTTAGGCTTTATTTTTTTTCTCCTCCTACCTAGGCAAATACTGCATATTCAGTATTTGGTCATCAGCATCTTGTAAGCCTTGTGTGTTACATCAAGAAAATGGATAATTTATAGTCAACATTCACAGGACTAATAGATGGTCAAGAAGTTCATTCATTTTTCTTTTGAGAGAAATGCTCTAGTGCTACCACTGACACTCAACCATGAACTTGCCCTCTGATATGCTCAGGTGTATCCACCATAGTTCTGCAGCATTTTCAAGTCACCTGCCTGCCTGCTAATACAGTGCCAAGACCACAGGAAAATACAAAGGCAGGGGCTCAGGAAGGGGATGAACAGGACTTGAGTGAGAAACCAGCACACTATCTTAATATTGTCGTCTTTACTCTAGGTTCAGGATACTATCCAGATGAAAGCTACAATGAAGTACATACAGAAGATGTTCCACAGGCTCGTCCTCTAGACTACCAAGGTAATCCTCACTGTTTCTCAGGTTCAGGAAGATCTAAGAGCTAGGCCACTCCCTGAAGCATGTTCACCCAGGCTTAGCTTATATGTGTCGATTGAAGCACTGGGAAGGGGCTATGATTGCTAAACATGAATTAGGTTACTGAATCACCATATGACTTTACCCCTCTACCATGCAGTTTGCTCATTTATCATTAATCATTAAATATTGACTGAGTACCTACTCTATGCCTAATACTATGCAAAGTAAGTGTGAATGACACAAAGTCTAAGGTAGGATTTAGCTCCGCTGAAGGAGTTTACTTTCTGTGGGAGATTAAGAGGGGGTACAATTAGCACATATAAGACAAGGAAGTATGAAGCTCTGTGGTAGCAATAAATGTAATAGGAGTTAAGATAAAGAGAGGAAAATGACCATGAAAGAGGACAAGCTAGGTATTAAATGATGAGTGCAAAGTTGAGAGCTGTAAAGAGGAGGAGAGAACATTTGAAACAGCAGATGGCCAAAGTTATAGAGTTAAGAAACCCATTAAAAGAGGGAGCTAAGGAGAAATAAGCTTGACAGGAGATAATGGAATGTGGAGCAAATAGAAGAGAATAAAATAGAACATCAAGTGAAATCAAATTCAGAAAGCCTGCATGATCTAGAAACCTGCTCAGGTAAGGCAGGGGCACAGCTTTAGAATCTTGAGTAATGATTCCAGCACTAGAAGGAAAAGTAGGTCAGGTGATAACTCCTTTTGTTGCTGATTTCCTGTTTCTGTGCTTTGCAAGCCACAAAGAGATATATCTATGTATATAAGCAGGATGGTTTGGACAACTGTGGATTTCTGCTGGCCTATGGATAGATAGGAGAAGATAATGCTTAATTTGTTTTGTCTCCTTTTATCAATTGTCCTTTTTCTCTTCTTAATTTCTTATATATTTCTTTCTTTTTTGCTTTCTTCTAGTTTTGCATGCATATATCTGGTAATATGAACAACTAATTGGAAGACAACACTATGCATTAGAACAAGTACTATGAAATTCATAATATTTTGTTTTTTGTTTTTTTACTGTTTTATTTTTTTCAAGAATTTCTTTTTTTTTCAAAGTTTTATTGATAAACAGATAGCAATGAGACAGTTTCAAATCAAATCGGAAGTACAGTTTCAACAAATAATACACTGCATATATTCTTAGTGGTTAATTGCTGTACAAGATGCGGACTTGTGGTCCTATTTACAAACACCATTAGAACAAATCATTCTATTCATTAAGAGAATGCAACTATATATCTATCCCAACCACTTTGAATACACAGATACAAAATGGACATTCATAGGTATACCCCATTTTTTCTAAGTTCCGTTATTGAATATTATAGGTATGTAAACTCAGCAAAATATTCTAAAAGAGTCCAGTAGCCCATAATAGCATTGGGTCTTCTGTTTAACTGGCAATGTCAGAAATTATTGACCTGAGTCCCCCACAGCTCAACTTAACAGCATGGCTTTATGAAATTCATAATATTTTGTCTAGTGAAATTTTGTATCACTTATAATTTTTCTGTTTAAATACTATTTTGTAGTCTCTTTAAAAATAAAAAATAGAATTTAGCTGTTGCACTAAGAGCTATAAGCAGCCATCATGTTTTTGCACAAGGGAGTAACACTGTTAATGGTAATTTTAGGATGTTAACCTGATTATTCAGTTCAGAAAATAGTGGCTACAAATTACATATATTGAAATATCATTCAGCCAGAAAAAAGAATGAAATCATATCATCTTCCTGAAGATGAATGGAACTTGAGACCATATTATTAATGTAAGTGAGGCATAGAAAATAAAAGGTCATGTGGTTATTCTTATATGAGAAACCAACACAAAAAGAGTTAATCAAAGGATAGATAATAATAAGCAAAAAATAAACCTGTTGGAGATGGGGAAGGGCATGAGGAGGAGGGAAGAAAGGAGGGTAGGTTTTGGGTAAAGAGATTGAAAGTGATCAAGATATGTTATTTCTATATGCCAATCTCCCCCCCCAAATGTAGCTATAACTGTAATGTACTGCAAATAAACACTAATAAAAAAGAAGGCCTAGAGCCTGAGTTGGGGAGATTCTCCAGTAATTAGTTATGGTAAAGTTGGCTAGAGATTTTTGAGGGCAATGGTAAATAAATGAAGAGTAAGGATTTGCTCCAGTGGGGCTGTAGGTGTGAGTGGGAGAATACTTGTCTAGCTTGATTAAGGTCCTGGGTTCCATCCCCAGAACTGCATGAAAAATAAGGAAAGGATATATCCTAGAAATACTCACAGAAGGAGATTCCAAGACCTGTTACAGATTTTGTGTGCCATGAGGTACATTATGAAAGGAAATGGTGTCTGCTCTAGGCATGGTAGTACATACCTGTAATCCCAGCACTATGGAAGGCTGAGGCAGAAGAAATGCAAGTTTGAGCCAAGCTAGGGCAACTTAGCAAAACCCTGGAATACCTGAGAAAATTATAAGATTCCTCTCAGAAGGCAAGTTTATCAAAGTGAACTGGTTTAGTAAAGATATCATGCAGGCAGTTGCAAATGGAAAGAGCTTTGTGAGTCTCCAGCTTAGATGGATGGGCTGTCTGAGAAAGTGGAGGACCAAGGTCAATGCCTTAGAAAACATTTTTAGATATAAGTAAGAGAAATAGAGCTAGCAAGCAAAATAGTGGTCAGCCATGTGACAGAAACAAAGGCAGTTTCTGTCATATTACACAAGCCACAGAAGAGAGTGTAGGAAAATGAAAAAGGTAAGAGGTCGATACATCCATACTGGAAAAAAAAAATCAAATTGAAGGGAGCCTGAACATTTTACTCAGCCAAGAAGCAAATCGTGAACTTTGAGACAAGTTTCAATATAAAAGTGATCAGAATGTTGGGTTCTTCTATGCTCCTTTCCAGCATCTGTCTGCTCACTGCCAATGGTCCATAACACCTCATTCTGTCTCTGTGCCTACTAAATTCTAAACTCCCTGCCGACTATTTCCCAGCCACCTACTAATCCCAAGCAGAAACAAAATCTTGTAGAGATCACAATTCACTAATGACCAAATCCTGTGGCTTTGACCTTCAATCTCAGTTCCTCTAGAAGCAGAGAGCATGCCCCTTTCTTCCTAACCTCAGTTTTTTTTCCTTCTCTATTTTAGGGAAGGGTCTGCAGGATGTTCAGGGTCTCACTACTAGATTGGACTCGTAGTGATCCACTTGTTTACAGCCTCCCAAGAGCTGGGATTACAGGCGTGCACTATCACTCCCAGTCTCAATTGCCATCTCAGTGAACCCCCAGGGTGTGGGGCCCAGCACAGTAGGCCCAGGGATCTAGCCCCCAGCCCCTGTGCCTGAATGCAGGCACTTTATTTTTAATTTTTTTTCCAGAACTGGAGATTGAACTCAGTGCTTATTGCACTGAGCTGTCTCCCCGGCCCATTGCAGGCACTTTAATCCGCTGAACTATTTGGCCATCCCTCTGACCTCTGTTCTTTGGGCCCTATAACATTTCACTATTTTGGTCCTGGGTGTAAACAAGAGGTGATTTTCTGGTGGGGATAATAGGGAAACTGGGGGTTGGGTATGAACTTTAGGCAAGCCTCAACTGTCTCCTGAGCTCTTGGACTACAATCTGCAACTGCTGCCAGACACGAGCATTGGCAGATGGCTGAAACAAAATTCTTTCATCTTGCCTGAAAAAGATTCTACTAGCTGAGCTTCCTCTTTCTCACAATGGTACCACCATTTTCTTAGGTACTTGGACTTCAAAACACCTCAACATCACTTCTAATAATCCCCATCACCTTTAGCGACCTCTTTTTCCTCATTATTCCTCACAGTCATTCATCTAGACCTCTCATTTCTTTATTAATCCTTAGGATTAAAATCATTATGTCACAAATTGTTAATAGTAATTTCCTTTTAACTGGATTCTCTGATTCTTGTTTCTGTAAACAGCCAACTAAGCCTAGTGGCTCACTGTGACAATTTTTAATCAGAATCTGGCTTTCTAGCCTGACAACTTTTTTAAAAATAAATTTATTGAGAAACAAATAGCAATGAGACAGTTTCAAAAACGATTAGTAGGACAGTTTCAATAATTAATACATTGCATATTGTTGTCTTCTTAGTGTTTATTCGTAGTACAAGATGCAGATATGATATCCTGTCCACAAACACTATTAGAATAAATCTTTCTACTCATTGAATTAAGAGAAAGTAGCTGTATATATCTCCTATTTTGAATATACAGATACAAAATGATCCTTCCCCTTTTTTGTTTAGTTTTGTCAGAGATGGGTATTCCATTGCCATTTAAATATGTAGGTGCGTGAATTCAACAAAATATTCCAATATAGTCCAGTAGTCCATAATAGTAGTGGGTTATCCATAGGACTGGCAATGTCCAGACTGTCAACATTTTATCCCTCTTCTCCACATGAGAACTCTGCTGCAGCCAGTTTGCTGTATGTGTTCCAAGAGTGCAGCAGCCTATCTGAAGCTTTCCCCGACCCATTCATTCTTTTTATTATTTATTGCATACCTTCTATGTACTTCTTTGGAAATCTGTGCTCATTGCTTCCAGCACTCATTCAACCTTCATCATATACTATTTTTCTACTTTTTATTACTCACAAAAAATGGATTTCTTAAAAAAATGGATTTCTTTTCAACAGAAGAAGCCATAGATGTGACTCCAACAGGACCGTGTAAAATATAGATCCTGATTGTTGACATCCTGAGAATAGGAAACAGATTGTAGGAGACTGTAAAAGAAAAGTGGATAATAAAAACCAAGAAATGAACTCAGCATGATGGCACATGCCTGTAATCCCAACATTTTGAGAGGCTGGAGATAGAGAGTCACAAGTTTAAACTCAGTCTTGACAACTTTATGACTTTATGAGATCCTATCTCAAAAAAAATGTTTTTTTATAAATGGCTGAGAATGTAGCTCAGTGCAAAGACCTGGGTTCAGTCTGGTATTGGGGCTGCATA